AGTACACTTTAGTTACTAGGGCCTGTAAAAATTAATATTTTGTACTAGGGCCTGATCCAAGGTGATTTTGAAAAAAATAATGAATTTTTGAATAATGCAAGTTTACTTTTTTTTTGGCTGTGGCATAGCGGCTCATAAAATGGCTCTGAGTTTTTCAAGTACAAGGTTTTAGCTCATAGCCCCATCTTCTCTTGACCAATTTGAGACTTAATTACAGTTTTAGACTCAGGAAGTCAAACCCTTTCAATTGATGTATTTGACCATGTCCAACGTCTCCTAGATTATTTTACTGTAATCCTGCCTAAAAGTATTTCGATTTGAGGGTAGGCTGAGATCCTGATGAGTAATAAAATCAAAACGGATATACGCGTGCCCCATGCTTGGTATTTCTGGCACACAAAAATATAGCGAATAAAAGGAAAAAAAAGTACTCACAGATTAATTTAATCTAATCCAGCCTCAATAAATTTCAAGTGCTGTAGCTATTGAGGGTTTCTTCTTGATATAAAAATGTTCCCAATTTCACAACTAATGGTTCAGTTAGCAATATTTTTCAAGTACAAATCTTAGTTCATAGCTCCATCTCTTGACTGATTTGAGATATGTTTAATCATGAATAATCTGAATAAACTTTATGCTATATACAGAATAGATTTAAATATTCAAGGCTTCCATATGTAAAGGAATTTTATTAAAAACAGGGTGTTCTTGGTACATGTATAAATTTTAAATTCTATTAAATCCAGAATCTTGATATGGATCAAGTCCTAGTCAGCTTTCAAAACAAAGAATTATAACAAAGGTTATAAAAGTACTCTATAGTGCACTAAATATTCTCACTTTTTTGGATTTTAAGCTAAAGTACGATATATAAAACAGTACATATCCTATAGGTAGCTTTAGACAGTGTGGTTGACATTTGAGAATTTTTTTTTGGATTGCTCCTGCCAAAAACTTCACCAACAAACACACACGTGTGTTTAGCTTTTCATGTTCATTGTTTACTTGGGGGTCTGTATTTGTTATAGAGACATTTTTGTGCAACATTACATTATTTAACCTGATAATTGTACAAGGATTGTACAAGTTCAGATCTTGCCGTATAAGTGACTCCATATTTTTTGTAAAATAATTACCACATACTAAAGTGGCTGTGTACAACCATAAATGTTTACATAATGTAAATGTAATAGTTATTGCTGTGTTATTTTAAAAATATCAATTTTTTCTTCATTATTATCTTATATAAGTGAAGAAGTTTTACTTATCATAATTTTTGGAATATTTCACAAGTAAAGTCTGTATACTGTGTTAAACTGACTATGTATTTAATGACCTTAATTATCAGCTATTTGTTGTTTTTTTGTCTTTGGCATTACTGAACTTTTCCATGGTGGAGAATTCTTTAGTCTTGCATAAGGATGTTATTTAGTGATATTGGTCTTGTATAGAGGTTTAAGGCTACTTAGAGGCTGTGTCCTCCCTATTTTATCTTATGGAATGATCAAGTGATGTGGGTAGCAAATGTGCTCTGGGAGAATTGTCTCTATGGTAATAATTAGCTCTCTTCAAGTATTCTGCTGTTGTAACTCTCTCAATTAGATGAGTAGTCCTCTCTCATGTGCACTTATAACCTGTCTAAGGTTTACAGTTATCTTGTCCATCCAGATAATGTTTGTTCTTCACTTTGTTTCACATTGTGGACAGTCTCTTTTTT